GGACTCTGAGCTCCGTACTGTAGTCTTGCAGGTCTGACTTTCTAGCCAAAGGCTTTAGATGGAGACTCCGAAGTTAGTCCCCTTTCTCGGTCAGGGCAATCGGGAATTAACATGCTCACACAACCCTATGAACACATTCTTCAGGTTTCTTTTTGATCATATGTTGTGGCACATTCGCCAGTTCTCTGTAACTGGTTACGTGTTGAATAAATAAATTTATTTTCTCGGAGTTTCATTGCACTTATTTGTACTCTATCCTATCATTCGCATCATCACTACTGTTGCGTTGGCACCATTCTTGCCGTCAGGCCGATGTGAAATATATGTAACATATATGTATGTATATAGTATATATGTATAAAGATGAAACAGAAACACACATGATAAAGTTATTTATTTGTCATATTAAAATTTGAAAGGAGAAGACAATATAGCAACATTGCACGATTGATGTCCCGGACGATTTCGCTGCATCTGACGGGAAAACAGTGTTTCCAATGCACGAATGGTTTTACAATTGGATGACATGCAAGAATGTGACTGCAGAGCGGCTCTCAAACAATCGCGACACAGTCCAAATATGGGTAATAGATCATGTGGATGGCTGGTTAGGGGCTAGATTACACGAATATATTATCCGATCAGACAAGTCGCGACTAGGTTTAGCAAGGAAGGATTGAACATGCGAGCTGGGTTCACAAATACTATCTATCTTCACTCAACGAGGAGACTAGAGAATATCAACGTTTGAAACGACAGATAGAATTTTTAGAGAGTATGTTGGTGTACAATGATGATGATGACATTTTTAGGGACGATAGGTTTAATCCTGCTTGGGAGCAACCATAGTGTAGAACGCAACAACAATTGTATGCTCACACAGTTGATCTCCATNTACTATAAGCTCAGACACCCACATGACAATATACGCACCTTGCTCCGAAAGCCCTGTATGGTCGAGGTGGGTGTCGCGGGTTGTGACTGGCTACCATTCCCTTACACTTCGCAAAAGGCTCTTAAATAGAACCAAGCGTCTCATATTGCTTCTACTGAGGAAGCCCTACTCAATGCCTCCCCGTGACGGAGTTGTTTTCCATCAAACTGACAGGACGAAAAGTCCACATCCGAGGCTAACCTTGCCAGTTCATATAGGGGAGTAGGCTAAAAACCCTAATTTCAAACCGACCAAAAGGAGGCTTGCGAACACAACTTCCTGTTCGTGGCATTGGTCATTGGCTCAAATGGGCACCTTGGGCATTTGAACCCGTCCGAAGGGCAGGTGATCCGATGAACTGGACACCGGCCTCCGATGGACTGGAGACTCTGAGCTCCATCCTGCTATTTCACGTCTAAAGGCTTCGTTTGGGTGGGGACCCCGAGGTTATCTCCCTTCCTCGGCAACTGGGAAGTTACAAACCTAAAAAACCTACGAACACATTCTGTAGATTTTTTCCCTTATATGTTCTGGCACACTTGCCAGTTTTCTGTAATTAGATACATGTTAACCAAGCTCGTGATGGTGTTTACACAACCGTGACATTGCTGGTGCTTGCCAGACTCAGTGAATGCTGTTAAAAAAAGGCCGATCAGTTTTGGTTCATTTTCAACGAAAGAAACGAGCCACAAATCGAAAGCAGTTGTGAAGTCGCTGTGTTACACTTAACCAGTGAAAACTAGTGATCACGAAATGTGAAAGCGAAGATTTATAAAAATCGTCCTATTGGTTTCAAGTATTTCTGCTTTCCTATTCATTTCGCTGTGTGGTTATCCATTTATTTCACCAGTTGATGTTTTAAAAATCTAATAACAATGAGGAAATTAGTTTAGATGGCATGTTTATATGAACATTTTGATATAATTCAATAGTTTGTGCCATCAACGTACCAGGTGTGCATAACTGCTACGTCGATCCTGTTTTGCAGTAGAAAATATTTTCTTCGCAAAAACCGATCCCAAACGTGGAGGATAGCCGGTGCGAGAGACTGGACCTGCAGCGGAAGATCGAGAGGCACTGACGGACCGCGTCGCATTGGGGACGACTGTGTAAACTTGTGTGTTCGAATGGGTAGTGGTCGATGGATTATTGCTTGTCCAAGCTACGGCTGCATTCTGAACCGTAACTGTTGTACTGTCTGGGACGCTTGAAATGCCACGATCAGATCTGCTGCGTGGACCTCGGTGACCGGCACGTCGCGAGCGCGCGCGCCTCGGAATAGAATCGCGAGTTTGTGACTCCGGTGGATTTAAACTAAGAATGCGTTGGGTTACGGGGAGTCGAGTAATTTTTGGCCTCGGCGCTAGACGAATACTCAAGGAAGTGGGTGTTCGGGCTGAAACGACAGCTGTCATTGGACTGTTTTGATGCTGCATGGGCAGTGCAGAAATAATTTTTTGAGCGTGACGACGCTTGGATTTTTTCGTTTTCTTTCCACGGCTTTGTGAATGCTCGACCGTGGCGAGTTTCAAATTCAGACGGAGTCGAATCGGTGGACATGGATTATGATCAGTTGATCCCGATGGGTTTGGTGCTTCAGTATCAGAATGCGAAGAGCTTTTAGGGTGCGTAGATTCATCTTCCTCCCGAGACGGCTCCGCGTTGGCTGTAGAAGGCGTCGGGTCTGGTTCAGTCTCCGACGAATGCATACCGACTTCATTGATTCCGTCTTCAGACAATTCCAAGCCTTTAGATGGTGTCAGAAGGTTTTCACTTTCGGAAGCATCATGCGCGTCGTTTGAATTCGTTACTGATTCCGGTTCAGCAGCCAATGCGATGCAATCTTCCTGATCCAGTGGTAAGGTGATGATTTCGTCCACCGGTGAATGAGTGACATCAAAATTTGTGATACAAGTTGCATCTTCTTCTGGACACAGTGAAGCAACAGGTAGGGTTTCAACGACTGGTTCGATTGCCGGGGATGTACTTTCAGGACGATCCGGTATGGATTCCAGTTTGGGAGAGGATACGGGTTCATTCGTAATAGGCGTAGACGGAATCGCACTGACTTCGTAATCACCTAGAGGCGCCGAATCAGTCTTCGGTTCAGTCGCTGTAATCTCTGATGTATTGGAAGTCTCTACAACTGGTGCATCAAAACATTCGAGTGCCTGATCGTCTACTTGGGCTGGAACAGCTTCCCATACGTGTTCAGTCTCCTGAGCTACCGTTTCCGAAAACGTTTCCACTTTCGGTGGACTAGATTTCGGTTCAGAAAGTCCAGTCGGAAGTGAATTCTCGTGAATAGTGGCAGGCAAGAGCGAATCCTCGTGATTCGCCACAGGTGAGAATGAATCTTCATCTGTTCGAACAATCAGGGGTGATTCCTCGTGATTGCTAACAATAGGCGGGGAATCTTCATGAGTGGCCACGAGTGAGAGGGAATCACTATGAGTTTTTAACGGTAATGTGGGAGCTTCATTGGTAGTGCTAAGCTGGATCGAATCTTTTTGAGTTGCGGTAGGAGACAATGAATGCTCACGCGTATCTAACGGTGGAAATGAGTCTTCAGCAGCGGGCGGGGTTGGATCTTCATGAGTTGTGATGGGTGGAAATGAATCTTTTTGAGTATCCAAGATCGGTGTCGAATCTTCCTTGGTCACAGAAAGAGGAATTGAATCTTCGTGAGTTGCTATGGGTGATAGTGGATCGCCGCGGGTAATGTCATGCGGAGTATATTGGAGATCGAGATTTTCGGCGGTTGTTGGATTGACGGGAAGACTAAATCCTTGTTCAAAATCCGGGACCAGTTGGCTTGTTTTGTGCTTACGTATCGACTGCGACGCTTTGCGAGATCCTCGACGACGCCGTGAACCTTTCCTTGAAGAATGTGTCGTCTTTGTTGGCTTCGGTTCACGTCTAGAAACATCGGTCGGCTCAAAAAGGTTCGTTGTGCTTGGTGATGGAGGATCCAAATCGGATGTACTGGATACCGCCAGTTCGCATGAAGTGCCATTTACGACCACAGATGTACTGAGCAATAAACTGGTGGACTGCTCTCCTTCATCGGATGTGTGCTGAGATGCCGGACCACTATCCGAATTGTTTTGCGGGTCGCTCTGAGTGTAATTTTGAAACAGGCGGACAGAAGATAAACCGTTAAGCCGGTTTTCAGATTGTTCCGTTTCTTGACCCCACCCGCTGACATTGGACCGATTCGAAGCCAGGGGTTTCGCTAGGTCTGATTGGCAAGCCACTTTAGCCAGATCGGAGAATGTTAAACGTTCAGTCCACAATAGACCTTTAGACTTATCGGAAGAACTTTCAGCTTTTGCAGCCAACGCACTGAAGCTTGTCGCACGAAAAGCTGCAGCACCCGCAAAACTACCGAATGTTGATCCGGGTACTCGCGTGGTGGTGGTGATGGAAAGCGAAGACAATCCAGTAGCTGTTGGTAATTTAAGCCCGGGAATTGTGGCCACAGCGTCCGTATTGAATGCGACAGCACCTGCGAGTAGAGACGGTGGTGTAGCCAATGAAGCTGCTGGACTCGGTGTAGATAGAGCAACAGCACCCATATCTCCAGTCTTGGGCAACTGTGAAGTGGCAATTACGGACAACGAGGGCATCTGACCGAATGGTGGAATTCGAAGAACCGGAAAAGTTCCGATCGACTGATCAAATAGTGAGAGGGATCCAGTGGATGAGGCAATGGTCAGATGTGGTGAAAATGAAGCCAAATCAGACAGACAGCAGCTTGTTGTTGGATTCGGCTTCTCGTCGTCATGAAATGCGGTGGAACTAAGTGAGACACGATCGGAACTTGTTTCAGCAACTTCGGATGATGTATCGATCAGAGCAGTCGGAGACAGCGAGTGTGTTTCCATCTTGTTCTGTTCGCTCTCAGACGTCTTGACCGTGGTGTTCACAAACAGTGGAGCCCCTGGACAAAGACCGGAATCCCAGATCGGAGGACCGTCTGACTTGCGAGCGAATGCATCACCTAATCCATTGGTTTGTACATCCGCGAATGTGGGCAGCTCAGGATTCACAGCAAATCGAGCAAACGGTGCATCAATAGACGGTTTCTTTAGGTTGATCGGAGTAATAATGGCCAAATCAAATGCGCTTCGGGGCGGGCATAGACTCGTGTGTGTTTCCGTAGACTCCAGTGTACTGTGGCTGACTTTACCCGCGGATCGTGACCGCCCGGAACGCTTTCGCCTTCGTCGATGCGGTGGTGGTACCCGTGAATGAATTGGACGGGATGTGGTGGAAATCACTGTGGTAGAGTTGAAAAAACCGCTCGACTGGGCCTGAGCTTTGGCAGGCTGAATACTAGGTGAATCTTTCGATTTGAGGCGCCCGTGATGGACGCGCTCAAGCGGTTGTGGCTCATGTCTCTGTTCTATGTTTAGTTGTTCCACAGGATCGGGGTTCGTTTCGATTGGTCTCACAGAGTCTGATTTGCATAAATCGCATTCGTGAAACAGGACATCTGTGGGTGACGGTGGCAGATCCGGAAACAGTGGACCACCCTGAGCTAATGTCAGCTGCGGCAGATGTTGACTGAAATCTCCAATCGGCACCGAATTATTTGCAGACTGGATTGCGGCCATAGATTCTGAGGACAGACTGGTGTGAGAGAAAGAGAAAACATGGAGGTTGAAATAAGTAACGAAAATGTTACGTTGTTAGAATGCGCAGTAATGTAACACCCAAGATATATATATATATATATGTTACAAAACAAAACATTCTTTTTCTATTACACAGCGCTGTGATGACAGCAGACGGTGGATGGAACCCCATAATCACGAGGATCTGCTGTCCAGTGATGGTAACCGGCAACCTAAGCCCCAGGACTTGGAGTGGTGAACCACATAAGGCCCCGTTAGGTTGAACCGCAATCGCCATTTCCGTATCAAAAGATAACCTCAACGAATTGCTCAATAGGCTTATTTGTTTGATGCTTCTCATGTGTGTTACAGCTCACATTTTCTCCACGTTCCACGCATTAGGCGGTCTTTTGGACTCTATAGTTCATCCACTGGGCCGGACCAGAATTGGGAAACTGTTTTATGTGGGAGTTCCACATATACGTTTGCACACAGGCCATAGTAGGACATACCCGTGTGTGTGTGCA